TAGTCCTTATTTCAGGCTCTTACTCCATATATGCAAACTCCTCTCGAGGGTTCATCTGTCAGCAGAACAATTGGAAAGTTGTTGGGGCCAGCCTTGGGCGACCAACAGCAAGGAAGTTTCTCGATCAACTTATGGAAAAATGCTTTCCAAGATGCTTTTCAACGACTTTGTCCTGTTAGAGCATGCGGTCATGAGTGTGGTTGCTTGCCAGTTATTGCAAGATTGGTATGTACTTAAACGTGTTATCCCTCTGTAAATTTTAAGCAGTAGCACAGTTTATCTTTGTCATGTTCTCATCTATTTATTCCTGGTGAACTAATTGATTTACCCTTTTTTATCAGGTTATGGAACAGTGCGTTGCAAGGCTAGATGTAGCAATGTTCAATGCTATTTTGCGGGAGTCTGCTCATGAGATCCCAACAGATCCTGTATCTGATCCTATTGTAGACTCAACGGTTCTGCCTATTCCAGCAGGAGATCTCAGCTTTGGATCTGGTGCACAGCTTAAAAATTCTGTATGTACCTTATTAGTTGACTTTTTGTTTTTTCATTAACATCTGTGGTATCTCTAGTTGGGGCTAGTCCTTGCAACATACCTATATCAAAACAAGAAATCGTTGCTGTGAATCTCAGTAATTCCCGTGCTTGTTATATTTACTCCATTCTGTGGTCCTAATGCTTTTATGGAACACCGCCTCTTAGAAATTTATATCAGTCTTGGTGGTGATACTGTGACATAGTGCTATTAGTTGCAAATAGCGGTTCTTGTGATAAAAATATGTTTCATTCTCTAATGTGGGGCACTTGTTTTGCAGGTTGGTAATTGGTCTAGATGGCTGACTGATATGTTCTGCATGGATAGTGATGAGGATCATCCTTCAAAAGATGATTTTAGACAAAATGGAGACGGGGAACCTAAATCCTTCCCTTATCTTAGTTCCCTTAGTGATCTTCTAATGCTTCCAAAGGACATGCTTTTGGACCGTTCGGTTAGAAAGGAGGTTGGTTTCTAATTAAAGTCTGCATTTTTTCGATCTCTGTGATGTTGGTGCCTCTCTTAACTCATTTGACTATATTATTTTCATGGCTTTAGGTGTGCCCATCAATAGATCTTCCATTGGTTAAACGCATTCTCTGCAATTTCACTCCAGATGAATTTTGTCCTGATCCTGTTCCAGGAGCTGTATTAGAAGCCTTGAATGCTGAGGTATGATTAGTTCGGGGTTCTCTTGTTCTACGCATTTGTTTTTCGTATTTTTTAATAACTCATAAGATAATTCTCAATGTCGGCCTTGCATATGCTATTTTGTGTTCCATATTTCGTCGGATGCAATCTTGCCTTTAATCAGTAAAAAAGAGGAAAAGTTATCTTGTTTTTTGATATATGGTTCTTTCGTCCATTAGACTATTGTCGAGAGGAGATTATCGGGAGAGCAGGCTAGAACTTTCCCTTATACAGCTGCCCTCGTTGTCTATACTCCTCCATCCTCAGCTGATATCGCGGAAAAAGTTACAGAGGCAGGAGGGAAATCACCGCTGTATAGGAATGCATCAGCGGTACAGAGGAAAGGATATACCAGCGACGAGGAACTGGAAGAATTGAATTCTCCACTTACATCGATAATCGATAAATTGCCGTTGTCACCGACGATGTTTGCCAATGGAGGAGTGAATGGACACTATAAGCATGCGGGCTACTGTGGTGCAAATGCAAGATACGAACTCCTCCGCGAGGTATGGTCCGGTTGAGTGTTTTATGTATGTTTGTTTTGTAAATCTCTCATGTTTCGTGGCCATGGAAAAGTGAATGTAAAGGTTAAAATTTTAGATGATTCAAAGTTAAAGGAAATTTCAAACATGGTTTAATGGCTTGACAGTACGGTGGGAAGAACTTGCTTTGGTTTTAATGAATGTAGAGAGAGCTTGAGATGATCCATTGCTATATATATTGATTTCAATACATTGTATAATTTCTTCTTTTTGTTTGTTTAAAATATCGTTTTATAAACTCATTGAGTAGCTTCAGTGATTAAAGAGGATGTTCTCTCCTAATATCTTGAATTCGAACAGTTGTGCCTATAAAGTGTGTATTGTCAATGATTAAGAAAGTCTACAAACATATATTATCTTATAATCAATATATATTATTAAAATAATATATCGTTTTACGGTTAAGTATTGATAAGAAAGAATGCAAATAGTAAAGTAAAACGATTAATATTTCATCCAAAATTACATAATGTATTTACAATTTAATAGGAGGATCAAATTGAAAAAAATATAAAATTGAAGGATTAAATTAAAAAAGAAATTTATTGTCGAAATTATTTGTGTATATTTTTCATAGTTAAGACAAAATTCCACCGATCTTCTAAAAGCTAATTCACCCCTATTGATTACGTTCTTTGAACGACTTAATATTATCAAATAAATTTAATTTGTTATTATATCATATACTAGATGTTGTATACGCAATAATTTTACCAAACTTAAATAAATAAAATTTAACATTTTATTAATGAACATAAACCTAAACCAATTACAACAGTTTTACACACCAAGTATTAATTCTTAATGCATTTTTCCTAAGAATTTCATGGTCATATTTGTATAAATATGTTATGATTCATATATAAAATTATTTCATTTTACCATTAATCAAATAGTTAATGCAAAAATAATCTATTAAACGACCTCAACAATAAAATGAAGTATTAATTATTGTAAGATATGAATTCGAGTAATTATATCTAAAACATATACATATATATATTATCAATAATTTACAAAAATTATAAATAAATATCATATTGTAATCATTCCGACGTATTTAAGAGAAAACAATTAATACAAAAGAATGATATGATCCATGAACGGACTTCTCTTGAAAACAATCAAAACCAATGGAACAATAGGTTTGTAACTTCAATGCTTGGGGAAAGCAATATGAGAAACGAGTAGAGAGAATGCAACCACCACCCCTGAAGCAGGCAAAGAGAAGGCGGCGCCAGTGTCCATCAACGGTGCTGTTGCCGGTGTCCGTGCCGGTGCGGAAACTGTTGCAGCTATGGAGAGGACAAAGGCAAAAACAAAAATGGTGACGATGGGGCTGGAGATAAGGATGGACATGAGATCCGAATCCGACCGGTTTTGACCCAACCCCATATGATCGGTTTTTTTTTCTAAATTTTTTTAGTTGGGTCGGGTTTTTTTGAAGATGGTGTTCGGGTCGGGTCAAATTCGGGTTTAGAGTGAAAAATACCCGATCCGACCTAAAAAAATATAATTTTACCTTATATATTTAAAAATAATTACAATAATATCATTATATATATATATATATTTAATTAAATCATTATTTTTATTAAATAAAAATAATATTTTTTATTATTTTAAGTAGAATTTAAATTTTATTTTAAAAAATCAAATCGAATTAAGGGTACATATTATATGGGTTAAATCAGATTTTGAGTAAAAGAAACATTATTCTCTGAGGGTCCAAAACCGCAAATTTTGCCATAATTGTGAACTGAAATCTTGAAAACTAAAAGAAAAGTGACAAGTAAAGAAAGACTGAAAAGATGGCGAGACAAGATTTGAGGTTGGTGTGTTTGTATAGGTACATGTGAACGTGAACAATTGGCGTGGACCATACAATGAATTGGAACAGCTTTGAACAACTCAATTTGAAATCAAGGGTCGGGTGACAGAGACCGATTCATTATTTTATGTTAAGATTAAATTTATAATATTTTAAATATAAATAAAAATAAATTAGTAATAAAAATATATAAAAAAAATTTAAGAATTTCAGTTAGGGTGCAAAGTGAGGTCGGTTGTAATCATGTTCTCGTGTAATAAACGTTAGAGGATCGTTTGGCCAACCCCCTCCCGCATGTACTATGTGTGGCATTATGCAAAATTTAAGTAATTTTTTAAAAATCTGAATAAAATTATTTTAATAAAATTATTATTTTTAGTTATCAAATAATTGATAATATTTAAAATATATATTTTTTGTAACCCTAGATTAATTAGAAAAATCATTTTCCTTTTAAAATAAACCTAAATAATAATTTTAAAAAATAATTAAAAAAATTGTGTTATCACCATTGATTTATAAATCCAATGTACTAAATTTAAGTTTAATATTTTTATTTTAGAAAAAAATAGAGAAAAATGATTAATGCTATACATGATTTCTTTAGAAATAATTTGTTATATTTATGATTATGATTGAATGTGTAACTTTTTAAATTTTTGAGTTAATGTTCGAGTGTAGATTCAAAGTTTATTTGAATAGATTTATTGTAGTATGGGATCCCTTGGATCAAATTTGTACTTAATCGGTAAATAATCGATCTAATTGGAGATAAAAAAAAATTAAACTTAGGATGAAGTGAAGAAGACCTAGAGTGTAATTTATCCATTGGAGATAATGGTCGTTAGGTATTAAATGTGTAGTTTACTATAAATTTTAATTAAGGGCAAATACATAAATGGTCATTCGACTATAGAATATTATTTTGTTGAGTTATCTGACTATTAAAAGTTATAAAATGGTCATCCGACTAGAAGACGTTGCTTTGTTAAATCTATCGACTATTAAAAATTGTAAAATGGTCATCCAGCTATTCATATGTTCTAAACTTATCATTTTTCGTTAAAAATTGATAATCATATGAATTAAACGTTAATCTGCTGACTATGATATGATAAAATCCGATCTCATAACCATTTGATTTATATAGTTATTTGAGATTCTATGATTAGATTTTATCATATCTCAATCAACATGTTAACGTTTCGCTCAAACTGCTGTCAATATTTTAACAAAAACAATAAGTTTAAAATATATAAATAGTTAGATGATCATTTTATAACTTTTAATAGTCGAAAGATTCATTAAAATAACATTATATAAGAAGAAGATCATTTTGTAATTTTTAACAATCGAAAGATCATTTATATACTTTACCCCTTAATTAAATGCACACATCGATTTGGAACACCGAGAATTATTTTCATCAAAACCGTTAGTCAACAATCCGCAACATATGTTTGTTTCCTGTGTTTCTTCTGTTCATGCAAGCAAACCACTCAAAAACACTTCATATCAACACATTTTGTAAAGAAAAATGAAACACAAACACATTCTCACAATAATGAATAAATTAATGCCAACTCCATCATCTTTATTAGGGTCCTTTGATTTTTTTGGTAGTCATTAGGCTCTTCGTTAACCAAATCGCCGTTTCTCTAGACGAGGCGACTTCATCCCCGAATGGTCGTAGCACGCCGGCAAGCTCATGAATTTTGTCTTGCTTAAGAAGCCTAGCACATAGCTCAAGCAGAGATTCCAATGCTTCGGCTCTTTCCAAACTTGGATTCTCCCATGCCGTCTTAATTTCATCACTACTCAAGGCTGTAAATCTACTCAATAATGACACGTCACTCGGTGTCAATTGAACTGGCCGGACACCGTCTTTCTCTGCCGGAGCGGAACAAGTATTAGTCTCCGATGTCACTCCTACTTCATCTTTACTCGGAAGTACAGCATTACTTTCGGATGACAAGTCACTCATGTCGATGCCTTCTGTTTTGGCATCAGGATTACTGGTTTTATTAGAAGAGCATCTTCGTCCTACATCGGTTTCATAAATAGTAGATGAACTTCCGTCATCAGGGAACCCGTTTTTATCATCACAGCTTATACTGGAAACAGTTAGTTTACTCAAATCCTCTAATCTACCAACAACCTGCATGTCAGGAACATCTTTTGCTGCCTCTTCAAGAACATGCATGTCACAAAAAGTCACCTCGTCTTTTTGGCTTACAGTCTCTGTATCAGCTTCTCGCAAGGTTCGAGTGTGCTCAGAAGCAGGCTCTTCTTGATCATCATTATGAGAATTGAATGCCATCTCTGAAATCGACTCCGCTAGAGCATACTTTTGATCCGGTTTTTCTCCGTTGCTAACACTCACTTCAGAATCAGTGGCCAGTTCTTTGGAATCACTGGTAGAGATCGATATTTCAACGGTACAGCTAGTAGGATCAACCCTCTTAGTTACAAGGTTGTTTTCTGTACTCGCTCTGGATGCTGGCTCCTCACAACTAGAACTGCTTACATGTACATCACCAGCCATTCTCTGAAATGCATGCATATTTTCTTGTCCATTTGATACCCCGACACCTTTAGCAGCCTCATCCTTTCTGGTGCCATTTCTGCTGAAGAACGATATTTTAGGCATCTTCTCCTCAGGGCTGTTTTTGGACTTTATGGGAAGATAAACCGGAGATGGGATTCTGCAGCGAAGGATATGTGGCTGCAAATGGGGGTGCCTTAATAGTTCAGCAGCCTAAAATACCAGAATGCTCTCGAATCAGTATCTATATTAATGTTCAAAACTAGAGAGCTAAATACAGGGTGACTTGCACTCACAGTCGGTCTGTGTTCAGGATTCTTCCTTAGCATACTCTTGATTATTTGTTTCCTGAAACATGTAGTCATTTAAGAGTGTTCTTCCAAGTACGATTAAGTAGACCAGACTCGCCGTTGAGCAACAGCTGATATAACGAGTTGGAAAAGGTTGCTTACAGAGTGGAGGAATACAAAATTGGGAGAGGAGAAATGGAGGATCTGTTGATCTTGTTAATGAGTCCAGCCATATCCTGTTAAGTTGTCAATGACATAGTTTATGATAGAATCTATAGCAAAGCGTATTACAGAAAACGTGACGGTAGTAAAACGATATTGAGGCTACGTCAAAATACTCATGTTAAAACACTCACTGGAGCTCGAAATGCAGGTTGATGTGCAGCAATCTCAAACATACAGCAACCTGGAATAAGTTTATGTCAATCCTAGTTAAAAGGATAACAGATTTTGTATCTCAGAATTACGCTGTGAATTTCTTTACCAAGTGACCATATATCAGATTTATATCCGTAAGGTATATCCGCCAGCAGCTCGGGACACATATAGTTGGGTGTTCCAACGACCTATTAAGAATATGCATAGCGTGGAAAGTAAGTCAAGTCAATCCTTTAGAACTGGTTTTGACAGATTCCATAACTAAGAGTACTAAGACATTTAATGATGAAACAGTTCTTATTCCAACCAGGAATACATTAAAACTAGCAAATAAAAGCTTGAAGCATTGGAGGAGTTCTAAGACAGTCCAAGTTCAAGGAGTCATTTTTTTTTTTTTACTGAAAACTTCATATAAGAAATTCTTTAGAAAAGATTAACACGAGTACATACCGAGGAAGCAAGGTCTTCTGTGTTAAGTAATTTCGCAAGTCCAAAGTCACCTATACAGTTCATATAAGACATAAATATCATAGAGACAAAAAATGGAGGCTAAACCTCAAAAAGAAACAGGGGTTCTGTTACTATAATCCTTTTCCCTTCATACCAAGCCGAATGTCATTGTCCTTCGTAAGGAATATGTTCGAACACTGAAATCAAAATACAAGTTAGAATATAACATCGCCATTGAAGAGCCTTTCTTCACAATAGGAACAAAGATAGAAGCAGTACTTTCAGATCCCTGTGAAGAACACGATTCGAGTGCAGGTAGTCCACGGCCAACAGTAATTGAGTCATCCATTTGCAGATTTTCTAGGGACCAAAAAGAGAACGATGAGAGGTAAATATCATCTCTAGATTTTGCATACAAGTAGTTCAGCAGCAGAATTATTGCATTACCTCCTCAGGAAAGTGCATACCTCGGGCCTTTTTAATAAGCTCAGCCCTGATTCCACAAAAAATTGTAAGTCCCCAAATACTCATCTATGTATCATAAGCATCAGATAGCATCCACCATGACCATCTTTTATTGACTATTTAATTACACAATAATCTGATTAAAGCTAATGACCAAAAATACATACACGATAACTGACCATAAATCCCACACATTAACTTTACTGCAGAGAAATTTATAATTTTAAAGCCATTTGACTATTTCTGTCGAAGGATTAAAAAGTTGAAGATAAGAAATATGCAATTTTTTTTATCATAATCTAGAATGTGCCTAAGACGATTAATGAACTTAGTATTTCATCATGATCTGAGAAAACACATAACAACTCTTTTCGTGGTAACTTACATGTCCCCTCCTTCACAGTAGCTGGTTACAATGCATATGCTATTTCCCTGCAAAGCATGAAGACAAAGTAACAAATAATTGAAGATTCACTAGTGGTCTCGACCACCTAAATTATATTGCTCGGCAGCTCTTTCGTATCAGAATGTATATCCAAAATAGTAATTTAACCCTTTCACCTTATCAACCCAAGCATCTTTATACTTGACAATATATGGATTATTTAGTTTTGCAATCAACTCCATCTGCAATACAGTGAAAGCACATATGAGATATTCTCAAACATGCAATGACTTGGGATGAATTAAGGGTATTCTTGGTTTCAAATACGAAAAATTTGGTAGATATAAAAGAACAAGCTGTCTAGAGTCTAGACATTTTTTTTTCTTATTCGGCATTAAGTTTAGAAGTATTTTTTAGGGTCTTCCCTATTTTTTGGATAAGTGAAGTCATTTTTGTCCCTAACTGTAATAAATTCTTAATCAACCAGGAGTCTTTTTAACCCAAAATGTACTAAGTCGGAAGGCTATTCACAAATTCAGAGGATATTTATGAGATTAACATTCAAACCACATAAAGCATAAGAGACTCTTGATCAAATCAGCAATTTATCTACCTTAACCTCAAACCAAGCGCTCATTATACCAGGGTTTCTCGATGGATAGATAAAGTTAGGTGGAGGGGGGAGTGACATAGGTGGATGATATGTTACTCGGACTTGGGATCAATGACATATATGAGTATGTATCTGACATGCATATACTCCTTTTTTAATAATTGTTTTCATATATTTAGAGGATTATACTTCATATTGATGTCTGAATATGTGTCGACCAGAATCATTTTAAGAAAATAAATAGTCTAGGTAACATAAGTAGATGCATGCACATATTTTCAGTCTGATTCTAACGGTTGTCTTCGGTTTTCAAGCATGTTGTGAGTAGGTCTGTGTTTGCATTCGCGCATAATTTGTTATCAGAAAGACCAAAAACATTACATCTAACAGTATTTTTTTATGCTATATGTATCCATCTAGTTTTAGTAAACAAAAGAATAGGTCACTGCAAAAGAAAGAAAAAAATAATCAGGATCATTGCTCTCAGAGAAGTAACATAGTAGAAAATGAATGGTGAACCGAGGTCTCAGGGTGCAACCTAGCACAGCTATCAGTCATGGGAAATACTACAATGGAATAATCCATGTAATTTTAGGTCATTACAATTCACATGTTAATTTATAACAAGCATGAGGAATGGAAAATTGGCTTTAAGAAAGTGACCTCTTGGTGAGCTGTACGCTTAAACTTCTCTGTTTGCTTGGCCAGGCGGATCTTCTTCAACACATACCTAACAGAGTAAGAGAGAAACTTAAAGCCAATAATTGGTAAAGGACGATGAACCGTGCCGACAGCTACTACAGTAATTGAGAGGGAAGAAAAAAGCAAAATAAGAAGATAAAAAAACTTACTTCTTTTTCTCAAGTTTATGGAGAACAAGAAAAGCAGCTCCAAAAGCTCCTCTTCCAATCTGTTCTATAACTTCATAGTCCGTTTTGGACTTGCCATCGCCATTATCACTCTCCATTGAGACCTTGAAAAGACCAAAGATAAAGACCCAACCTTTTAATCATCAACAAAATAAAAGCCCGTTTCAGAAATCTCTCAGCCAAAACAAGCTAATTAGAAAGAAAAACCCAAATTCCAAAATTTGAAGGACAAAAAAAGAAGAAGAGAAAAGTTAAAGACAGACCAAAATTATTGAAAAAGCTCAAACCTTTGATATTATTGAAGCTCTTGGAAAAATGTTACGATCTTATAGGTGAAAAAGAAACACAGAAAGTTGAGTAAAGCTAAAATTGACAATGATGATATCAGTGTGGAATATAAGGGAGGAGAGAGAGAGAGAGAGAGAAGTGGATGGACAAACTCAATGAAAAGGGTTGATGACTATACCAAATTAATTAATCAAATGGGGAAGAAAAACAGTAAAGAGGTGGAAGAATAAAGTGAAGTATTACAGGCATCCAAATACTACTTGTCATAACTTAATTGGGGAGTTGATAAACGAAAGATGGTAAGTTGAAATCTACAGGGCGAAAGTAAAAGAGAAAGACTTTGCTTGCATTTGCAGGTTCATGGAAGATCACTCATAAACCCATATACATATACATATACAATAACAAAGCCAGAAGTACGTAGCCTACCATCTGGTTGTGATGTCACAATCCTTTAGAAAAATCCATCAGAGTTCTCGGGGAATGTCTCAGGAAAGGCGGGTTAATATACGGCTAATATACAGCATTACCGGATACATTAAAATGTATTTAATAAATTCGGTTTAGCGGTACCTATTATGTTGACAACTAATAATGTTTTAGGTAGAAAATATGAAAAACTATTAAAAAATTTGGTAACCGGTAAACTTTGGTTATCGGTAAGTATCTATCCTTTTTATAAAAGTGTCCATACTTTTAACATATCAAGTAAATTTTACCGGTTTTGTCATAATGAATCTGGTTTTGTCATATTTTTACCTGTTATATTGTAAATTATCTATCCTTTTTATAAAAGTGTCCATACTTATTTCACTGTGAAAATATATTTATTATTATCTTTAGTTAATATTGTTAAATTTAAAATCTAAATAATATTTTATAAAATATCAAAACAATCAAATAATTTTTTGTGTAAATGAAATTATTAAATTAATATTGTAGGTGGAAAACATGAAACACTATTAAAAAAATTGAAACATAAATTACATAACTTTCAAAAAAGTATATATCATTTTTATAAAAGTGTCCATACTTATTTCACTGTTGAAAACATATTTATTATTATATTTGGTTAATATTGTTAAATTTAAATTCTAAATAATATTTTATAAAATATCAAAACAATCAAATAAAATTTTGTGTAAATTAAATTATTAAATTAATATTGTAGGTGGAAAACATAAAACACTATTAAATAAATTGAAACATAAATTACATAACTTTAAAAGCAGTTTTAAATCCTAAAAAGTGTCGATACTTTTAAGAAATATATCGATCCAAAACGATATACCAGGTAAAAATATGATAAAACCGGTAACAAAATGATAAAACCGGTAAAATTAAAAGTGTCGATACGTTATATAAGGATCGACACTTTGTGAATTTAAAAGAGAAGCAGTTATAGCGCCTATAATGTGTCGATACTTTAAAAAAAAATATCGATCCACAACGATATAACAGGTAAAAATATGATAAAACCGGTATCAAAATGATAAAAACGGTAAAATGATACCGGATATATTGAAAGTGTCGATACTTTCGTAAGTACGTGTAATAAATTATCGACACTTTCAAAGAAATAGGTAATTATCCTTTCGAAAGTATCGACACCTGACATAAAAGTATCGACACTTTTGTATTTGTATCGATTAAATATAAATAACATATCCGATGAAAATATAAGCTAAATATCCTCTGAAAATAGATAGAACGGACGAGTTTTTGAAATCGAAGAGTAATTGTTGCTGCATTTCAGAAGGCGTTTCTAAAGCGAAGTTTGTTTGTTTGTTGCTGCAGTCGAATCGAAAAGTATGTTGTCGAAACCCTAATTTTTTATTATTACAGTAATCGCGATAGGGTTTTTTATGTGTTGTTTGGGGTTTTGGAGTAAGGAAGCATTTGGGACCGATTGCAGGTAGAAATAGATATTCAAGGAAAACGATAAATGTCGATACTTTTATTAAATATTATAGGTAGAAAATGATATTATAGGTTGTATAAATGTGCCGACACATTTTGGTGTGGCCATTCAAATTCTTTTGAAGAAAACCGTTTTACCACAAGAGTAGTTATCTATATTTGTATATTGAAAAGTGTATGTAACAAAATAATTTGATTTGCGTAAACTGATATATGAAGGAAAAATGGAGTCAATGGGTTGGAAAATTGTTGGTGGAGCAGATGACTTTGAAATTGAGGCCGAGACTCGAAAGCAACCAAAGGGTGGATATATGTACTTCTAGTAAGTATCAATGTCTTTTTGTTATTATTGTTGAAATGGTAATTGGATTAAAGTATCGATAAACTTTAAATTGATTACAAATTTTAAACGGTTCTTCTGAGAAATCAGGTCCTTCGAAACTCTGAACTTTAGATCCGACATGGAGAAACAAAGATGGCAGACGAGTTTTAAAGTAAGGAAGATTCGTCCCGAACGTGTCATTGACCTGGGTTTCTTGTTTGATGATAAATATGCATTTAGTTTTAAATCCACATTTACATCTTGGGGTTGGCTTGAATTCCTTGGTGTAGAACCAAGATATTATCCCAACCTAGTTAGAGTCTTCTACAACAATGCTTCCTTACAGCACGAGCCTAATAAGACTAATATAATAGGAATTAATACACATGTCATGGGGAAGGATATATATATATCTCCAGAAACTATTGCGGAGGGTTTAGGTGTAGCGAATACAGGGGATTCAGATGAAAATGGTGTAGATTGGTCTACAATTAAACGGGTTACTAGAAATAGCCCAATTCACCTCGATGTAGAGTCGAGAGTGTTTCACAAAATGCTCACATGGTATATCCGGCCTAGTGGGGGAAAACATTCAACGCTTCGAGACAGCGATTATTGGTGGATAGCAAAGTATAAATCCAAAACGGCTCCAAACATTGCAAAACTCATATTTAATACAATTGTATATATGGTCACAAAGGGAGCAACAATTTCAACTACACTACCATATGGATGTGTCATCACCCATCTGTTGAAGAAGAAGGAAGTTGATTTTTCGCATGACGCCCCTGTTCGATTAACCCGCAAGATTGACATGGTATTTATTAAAAAAGCGGGATATGATTTTGTTGAAAAACTCGGTTGGAAGCGTGTCAAGGAGGTCGGATTAGATCAAGAGAGGGAGGAAATGGACCCCGTTGGCCATGAAGAAGAGCAACCAAGTGGAGACGCAATGATGGAAGAAGCAACAGTTGCAGAGGATGTCACAATTAAGACCGTGATGGAATACATGGTCAATTTTCGGGAGCATATTGATTCCCTTGTGAGTGGAATGCGAGTCGATATTTCATCATTGCAACGTGAAGTCTCCATGTTGCGTAACGAATTACGTCAACGACATCAAACGAGTTAGGTAATTCATTATCTATGTTTCTTAACATTTACACGTTCTGAACTTTATTTTATTTTCTTTTAACAGATGTGGACAACCAATCGGTCGCAGAAGATGAAGCTGACGATGAAGATGACGATGATGATGATGATGACGATGATGATGAAGATGATGATCCAAACAAGTATATCGTGTCTGCAACGCCGCCTTCAAGAAAACTTTTAATTTTTGATCTCAATGGTGTCCTTGCCTACATCCCAAGACTGCCGGCAGGTTTTAATTCTATTCTTTTGTATCCATTATTTTAACATATAAGCGTAGAACTTTAATCTCATTTTCTTCATGTTGTAGATGTTGTCCTCAGAAGAGGATTATTTGAATTTATGCAATTTTGTGTCGACAATTTTGTTGTTGCCCTTTGGTCTTCAAAGATGAGGTTAGAACATGTTTGAGGCAATTGAATTACTGTAGTCAAAATCGTTAATATACATTGAATGTTAACATTCAATCTGATTACAATCTCAGGCATAACGTCGACCGTGTACTTGAGAAACTACCTGTATTTTCCGAGCATTTTCTATTCGTGTGGGTAAGATGAATGTCATTACAGTTTGCTGACTTTTCCTTGTCTATGATTCCTACATATTTATGTTCGACTGTTTGTGAACAGGATCAAAAAAAATGCAAAACATACGATTCTGTTACCTATTGTAAAGATCTCAATGATGTTTGGAACGCGTGTCCAGATTTTAACGAGCTAAATACACTTTTGGTCGATGATTCAGCGGAAAAAATGATTTATAATCCGGTAGGTTGCATTTATGCAATATGTTTCTGATCAGTTGAACAGGTGTTCAGACATTGATTATTTTAACAACTTATGTGTTTATATAGAAATACAATTACATATGTCCACATACCTTTGACGCTGCTTCCCATTCGAACGACAAAGCTCTAGGTATGACACAAATTTATTCATGCTTATGCGAATTTAATTTATTGTTAGTAAAATTGCACCTCATTAGTTTGATAATTGAAATTATTTATGTATGTCCTCAGAAAAAGGCGGAAACATACGAGAGTATTTGGAAAATTTGTTGAAGGCCTCTAATGTTCCGGACTTCGTTAGAAACAACCCTTTTTCATCGGATTAATTTTGTTTGTCGGTACATTATTTGAACATTCTTGTGTATTTAAATTTTGGTGTGATTATATTGTATGTATATTTTCATTAATTATTCCATATTTGCTTCTATGTGTACATATACATTTGAGTGAGTTTTAAGATATTAATTTAGTAATTATAGGCGTCTAATGATTAATTTTTTACGTTACGGTATATATTATTGTTAAATTAAAAATTCTTAATATTATTTTATAAAATATCAACACAATCAACTAATTTTTTTGTGCAAATGAAATTATTAAATTAATATTGTAGGTGGAAAACATGAAACATACTTAAAAAATATTGAAACATAAATTACATATCTTTAAAAAAAGTTTCGATCCTTTTTATAAAAAGTATGGACACTTTCAACATATTATAATAAATAGATAATTTTGTAATATAACCGATATAAATATACCGGTCTTATGCGCGAATAGGTCTACAACCTATATCGACACTTTTTAATATTGTGTCGGTACTTTATGTCCATATTGGAAGAAAATTGTGTCGATATAATTTAAAAAAGTGTCGACATTTTACACATCGGAACCCATAATTATAATGTAATAGATAATTTTGTAATATAACCGGTATAAATATACCGGTCTTATGCGCGAATAGGTC